GGACGAGGATGTCGGATCAGAAGGATCCTGGGATCAAGCTCTTCGGCCGGGTGATCCCGTTGGAGCCGGAACCCGCGCCGGGAACCACGGAAGCGGAGGACCCGCCGCCCCGCCACGACCAGCCGCCGGATGAGCTGCTGCAGCCACGGGCGCCGGAGGTTGCGGCGGCGGCGGATGAGGTCAGTATATATGATCTCTTTCACGTTGTCACTCCAGCGAGTGGCAGAGTTGTCATGTCACTACCGTTGTGGATGGAAGGAAGGATGAGGAGATGCGATTTTTGTGATCAGCGGTTCAATTTATGTTACGCGCTCTTTTTCAAGTTTCTTTTTTCCGTTCGCGGTTACATTTAGTGTCGGGAATCTCGTCTGAGGTTATTTAGAATTTGGAAGTCCAAGCTAAGAACAGGGCGAATTCGTTTGTGTGGGCGGGCGCTACGAGGTGCAGGCCGATCAAGATCAGCGCGAAATTCGATTTGGATTTTTGAGTAGAATGGATAGACCTGAATTGGGTTGGAATAGCGTCCAAAAAAGCACTAACTGCCCGTACACAGTTTGTGCCTGGAATTCCGGACCACATTTTTTTTCTCTCCTTCTGGCGTGAATGAATACCTGAGCAGGCAGAGGCATTCAGTTCCTGCACTCTGCAGAAACTGGCTTCCATTCCTCGTTCCAGACGGGGCCAGTGGCAGTGGCACCTTGATGGCTTGATCTCAGTCTCAGTTCGAGCTCAAACTTTTGTGTCCAAAATCCATGTAAGCCGCCACAAAAGAGACTGTAGCTGTTGGCTCCCTGGGGGTGCAGATGGGGCAGCCATGCTACAGTAGCAATAGGCATACGCCCTGGTCGTTTGGCTTATAAGCGGTACTTTTTTAGTCAACGAATAATATTTTTTTCTCACAACAAATCAGTCAGCCATGGCTTATCAGCCAAGCGAACATGGCGTATAGTTGGTAGGGTGTTGTCCTCCTTGCCTTGCTTCCTCAAAGTAGTTATTCCTGAGGAGTCCAAAGGTAGAAATCAGTGCAAGGTGTAGCTCCCTTTTGTGGTGGAGTGGTCCTTCCATTCCATGGACCAGGACCATGGCCTTGTCACTGTCCAAGAGTGGCCGCTTAGGCGCTTGGCTTTTCATCCTGACAAAAAGATGTCTTGATTTGGTTAACAGAGATGTGTATAGATTTGTATGATCAGGAAAGTGACACTAAACAAGGCCGCCTAGGAGTGCATGAGAAACAGGATTAAGGGAGGAGGTTTGAATCATCCCTTATTTCAGTTCATCGATGTTTGGGTGTGCATTTTTCTCCGCTTCATGTACCATTGCATTGTGTATGGAAGAGGCCACACTGCTACAGCTGATAAAATTTGTATATGAGCTGCCGCACTTGAAGAACATTGTGGATTCATGCGGATTTCTCTATCCCATCTGACTTAATTTGAACTTGCATGGCATGTTCATTGCAGATTAGTTAGTGATCTGATGCTTCCATGTTTTCTGTTCCTTGATTAACAAAATGAAATCCTTTTTCAGGGAAATTCATAAACTTCATCCATATAACAATTAAAGCTCAATAATATGACTACAAATACAATTGATGCAAGTATTGGTTCCTTGCTCTGTCTTGTTGAACATAGGCACAAACAAAATGTTCTATGCCATTGTTACGTTTAAAAATCCAACTGCAATTTTCTTTGAATTCAAGATACCTTTTGATAAGAGCAATCTTTTAAACATCCAGCTATAGCTGTTTTAGACCTCCAAATGCTAAGCTATGAGTCGATGTCTCGCTATGTTAGCTCTGAACACTGTAGCTCTGAATAGCTCCGCTATTTACTGTAACTCATAGCTTAGAAATAACTCATCTATCGTGCATTTATCATTGAGAAGTTCTTGATGTATCTCCTAAGGTTCAACCATGAGAGAAGACATCTAGCCTTTATCATTTTCAATACCCTGCCCTTCATATTTTATATCCTGGATTCTAAGACTATACCTATGGTGAGCTTACGAGTACATTATTAGTGGTTCTACTTTGTTTTTTTCTCCTTTCTTGTTGATTCTTACTTATTTTCTATACATGTTTGTTATTTTCTGTTATTTTAATACTAAAATTCTACAAATCATAACTTCCACTATGACTGTCTATATCTGCTGGTAGCCTTTTTCTTTGGCCTGCTGCTACACTGCGCTATTGAAAATCTTGGATAAGAGTTTCTTGCTCTAATCTTGTAGGATCAACACAATGAGAAAGAAGAGAAACATGCTAATGAAATGGTTGACGTGCCACAAGAGAAGGGTAAAGAAATCAAGGTTTACACACCACAAGAGGAGAAGGATAACGAAATGAAGGTTGATGCGCCACAAAAGGAACATGATGATGAAATGAAAATTGATGCACAACAAGAGAAAAAAGATGAACAAATGGAAGTCAATGCATCACAAATGCATGAAAATATCGAACCAGCCAATTTACCTCCCTCAGAGCATAAGAAACAAGAAGAGGGCCTGATGAACAGTACTGAAGATAAAGCAGCATCAGATCCAAAGGGGGAGAATGAGAAGACATCAAATGAGGAATCAGGCCAGGACAAGGCACTTAAGAAGCCAGATAAGATTCTACCTTGTCCTCGGTGCAGCAGCATGGATACAAAGTTCTGCTATTACAACAATTACAATGTTAATCAACCAAGGCACTTCTGTAAGAATTGCCAGCGGTACTGGACTGCAGGGGGCACTATGAGGAATGTACCTGTTGGTGCTGGGCGGCGCAAAAGTAAGAATGCATCATTGCACTACCGTCAATTACTGATGGCCCCTGATTGTATGCTGGGGTCTAGAGTGGATATATCAAAGTCAGTGCTCCCTGAAGATCTTGTATCTCCACCTGCCCCGATACAGCCAACCAGTCGAAATGAAACAGTTCTAAAATTTGGGCCTGAGGTACCACTTTGTGAATCAATGGTGTCAGCACTGAACATTGATGAGCAGAGTGTAAACAACCCTGGATCAGCACCAAGAGGTGAAAATAGTGAAGATAACCCTGGATCTGGCACATCATACAATGGTGTGCCTGAAAACATGGTTTCCGTCGATAAGAACGGAGCACTAGTTCATTGTAACGGAGTTGCACCAGTGCCTCAGTATTACCTTGGAACCCCTTTCATGTACCCTTGGAATGTAGGATGGAACAATGTCCCTGTGATGGTGCCAGGTATAAGTATTCCCGAGTCTGCTTCTGCTTCTGCTTCAGCTTCAGAGAGCTGCAGTACTAGTTCAGCTCTATGGATGAACTCTCCCATGATGCCAGCCTCAAGACTTCCTAGTCCAGCATTTCCATACCCACTTGTGCCACCTGCGGTTTGGGGCTGTTTGTCTGGATGGCCAGCCACGACTTGGAACATACCATGGATCAGAACTAACGGTTGCATGTCCCCGTCGTCATCAAGCAACAGCAGCTGCTCGGGCAATGGGTCTCCTACTCTGGGTAAACATTCCAGGGACTCTAATCCACTGAAAGAGGAGAAGAGAGAGAAATCACTGTGGGTTCCCAAGACACTACGGATCGATGATCCTGATGAAGCTGCAAAGAGTTCAATATGGGCCACCCTTGGCATCAAACCCGGAGACCCTGGCACTTTCAAGCCTTTCCAGTCCAAGGTCGAGAGCAAGGGACAGAGATCAGATGCTGCTCAGGTTTTGCAGGCGAATCCAGCAGCATTATCACGCTCGCAATCGTTCCAGGAGAGCTCTTGACTTCATACCTGCAGTCTACCTTATAGTTTTGGTATTGTAATCCTTACATGCTAGTAGAGTTTTGCGGTATGTGAAAAGATCAGCAGAGAGCTTCTTGTATAGCCACGTAGTGGCTCTTGCAAAGAGCTTCCATGAGAACTCCTTTCGAGATATGTATGTATTGTAAATACTCGACATACTGGTGTTGTATATTCAGTATTAAGCAGGACTCAGGAATAGACCCACCTCTCACCTGGTTTGGCTCTGGTTTATGCTGTAAACAATTAACATGTAGTAGATAATGTTGTAGTGGATGAACTAAATATACTCTCAAGTGAATCGTTTTAACTGTCAGATTGTGTTTTGTTTCACTTCACTGACTTGGGCATATTCAGATTTCACCTCTATGAGCAATTCTCAAACCTAGGAAAGGGTATCAAGTGATCAACGTGAATTATGCCAGTTCCTTAATGCAAATCGAGTACAATATCAGCAGGAATTACATTGCTGCACTGATTCTGTAACGCCTCAAATGATACAGGCCTTGTCTGGATCTCATGCATATTTTAAGAATCTTGATAGTGGCTATAGATTATAAGCATCTGGATTATACATTTATAGTCATTACAAATAGCTATATTGGGTCCATAGTTGGGCTGTTGATTGTGTCTGTGACCCTGTTTGGTAAAGCTCTAGAGCTAACTAGTTAGGTATTTGTAGTTACAAAAAATCTTGGATCCGAAAATAGAGAGATGTTGGGAACACTAATATGATTCATTTTATTTATAGTTTGGCAAGATATATAATTATTTAAACCCCTCTAATTTAATCTGCAAATTGCAGACCCAACATTGGAGCTAGAGCTATAGCAAACATGCCCAAAAGCTAAGTGAAATCAGATAGCAGAATTATAAGAATCTAGGTGGACCGATTGTATAACCTGTACAAGAATCTGGGTTGTTTAGACCAGCTCTGGATTTCTATTTTTAAATTTGAATTAATCCGTAGGTTAATCTGGGCAAGAGCGTAGAAGATCAAGTACCTAAGCAATCAGTAACGTTTCTGTACGTAAGTCACCTGATGGGTTGCATACATTCCAGAAAAAGAACACTGTTTTACACAGAAAGACTGTTGTACACGTACTTTGTCAGTGACAATGTCAGAAACATCCTGTGCTATCTAAATAGTCTCGGGTGTTTCTTAGAAGCATCAGCTAGCCATCATAGGAAGAACATCCAATGTGATAGGCCTCTTGAAGATCTGGTCCAATATTAGAAGTCTGGTGATAGGGGCGGTGGACAGGAGGCAATAGCAAAGCCAAGGACTTGTCCATCATCAAAAGCCGTCCGCATTTGCTGCACTTATATTAATCCAAGAATTGCTTATTAGACCAGCAGAAATGCAAATAATGCTATGGGAATGGAGTTTGACATCTAGGAGTAGTACCTGCAAACCTTTGTAAACAGAGTCTGATAGCTGGCAATCCAACGCTGCAAGACAATAAAATGTTTTTAGTAACAGAAAATGTCTGAAATGACAAACAACAAAAGTGTAGGAACTATGATAGCATCGATCAAAGCTTTTGCAATGATTTCCCCCATAAAAAAAATCTCAATGACTAGTTCGAGGAAAAATCTCAATGACTGGATTACTAATGTGAAGGAACTGGAAATTCATGCAACGTACCAAAAGCAGAGAAAGTGCTTTACTCGGCTCCACACTGATGAAGTACTGCAAGGCCTTGTCAGCATGCTCCTTCATAATCAAAACATTCTATTAATCTCACCCACCTTTTCGCTTCTAGGGCTTGTTTGCTTTAAGGCCTGTCAGACAGCAATCTCCACCCTAGGCTCACAAAATCCAACGCCTGGGAATGCATGGAGGGCCAGGCAAATCTGGCTAGGTTCAAAGCAAACAGGCCCCTAGTGCCTCTTATGAGAACAAAATTTAAAATAAAAATATAAAAACACATACTTACCTTTACATGCTTAAACACATGATGCACCGACGTGCCCCTCGCATGAAGATAGCTTCCTCCCTAGCAAAATATTCACATAATGTGTAAAAAAGGATATCTACCAAATTTATCAACTGGGTGACTGAGTTTGCCCATTAAGAGTATCATAGAAACATGCTACAACAATGAAGTGATCTTGGTACGTAAGAAATTAATAATCAGACATACTGTGAAACATCAGCGCATGGCTGCATAGCTGCTCATGCAATGTTCACAACTGAGGTGGACAGAGTCAACATTTAGAAAAATTCATTACCTCAGTGGAAGAGAAGAATGCCACTGCATCAGGATCAGTAGATCCAGCAGGATGCAATGACACTACAGCTCTAAATATTGAAGGAACCAGCAATTCAATTACTGCAACTTGGTCTATGGCAGTTGTCAGAGCACCAGATCTCGATTTGCCCATATTTTGCAGGTTCAGCTCTTTAGATGGATCCACAAAGTCATCATCCATCAGGGATGCTAATGATGAAGCTCTTTTTGACCAATCCAGATGCCAGTATGTGAATATTTTCATGTTAGGTACTTCATTTTCTAAATTTTTCAGTATTTCAGATAAAGATTTTTCCTCTAGATCTCCGTTGCTGGCAATCAACTTTGGCTTTTTGGTGACACCAGGTTCACCATCATGGAGATGGCTAAGGACTTCGTCTTCTAGATGAGGAAAGAATCTTCTTTTCTGGTCAGTGAAGGCCTTGAGAGCTAACCTGAAAACAACATGGGTAAGATCAAAATCGTAAAAAAAATTGAGCGTATCTTAAATGAATAATGCAAAACTACATAATCATTTCTCCAGTTTTCTGCCAAGTCTCCAAAATAGTAGGAGATGATTGGGTGGCATCCAAAATCGCCACGCACACCACCGCTATTCATCACAGCCAGTAGGGATGGCTGGAGGCCATGATTGTGATTGGAGGACCACCCAGATAGGACACCAGTTGGGGTGTGTGTATGTGCGTGCGTGCGTGCGTGTGTGTGTTGGGTAGAGGGGTGGCAGTGGTCACTGTCTCACTGGGGTGTTAATTGATTAACTGTTTTCATTTGGTTGATGGAATCAAAATTAAACAAAAGTGATAGTTGAGAGCCGTAACCTGTAATTTTTCCTTATCCCAAAATGGAATAACCATAAATGGTGTATAATTTCTAGATACTTTTAGTTTGCTATACAGAAGTGAACAGGAACACACTTGTGCTGAACTCTTGTCCTCTCCCTATAGACTGGTGGGTGATTGCAAGCACCACAAAGTACTAACATCCAAACATGCTTACGAATTAAAAAAAAATTGTGACATTTCCAATGCCATTCTAAGTCAGGTGCATTTGAAAAAGGATGAATTCTGTTCAGCACAGTAATTAAAAATGACCCTGATTGAAAAGACAAAAGTAGTGGTTTTAGATGAATGAGGAAGACAAATTCTTGCAGATGGAGCGAAAATTCTCAATTAGAGAAAGCAAGGTTCAAAACAAAAACACAATGAGAAAAGGGAGGAACAGGCCATAGATTTTCTCATAAAATTCAGCCAGGAAAGCACTTATGCACTTGCAAGTCATAGTGATGTCCAGAACTGAATATGACCGTGATTGCACAAATTCAGCTGTCACAAAGAATTATATTACCATGAAATAAACATTACGAAACCGCATTCTGTTAACATAGGCTAGTGAAAATGTCGCAAAGAAAAGTAAGTTCATAGGGAGAAGCATATTATTTGGAGTATTAACTAAATAACTAAACAAGCCAACACAATATACCAAGTAATGAATTTTACCTAGTCCTGTCCACAGCAGATGCACCAGCCTGACCTGCCAGTTGACGCTTCCAAGCATAAGCTACAACAGCACCATCTGGACAAACGAGTGGCATGTGCAATCCCCATGAATTGCCTCGAGCTTTAAGGGCCCCATTAAGGACTCCAGACTCCTCTAATTGCCTTCCTAACATTAAAACAAGGAATTATTCACAGATGAAAAAGAATGGCTAAAAGGAAGACAAGATATTTGTTAGTCTACATCTACACTAAAAAAACCTGAGAAAGTTTGACAATTCAAATGCTAAGCCTGATTAATGATAATAAAGAAATAGTTCCATTCTACATGAAGGTTTAAAAAACGAAAACTGCATAAAATCTACAAATAGAGTAGTGAAAAAGTAAAAGTGAGAGTATAATAAAACTGCAAAGCTACAATTTATCCATGGACCAAAAAGTGAAAAATGATGCCATTCAGCATCTTAATTCTGAAGCTACTTCCTCTGATTACAACTAACATCCATCTAGGTTTTTCCTAAGACATTTTTTAGCTTTTACTAGCAATATTTACAAAATATAATTATATGATATATGAAAAGGGTTATATACGCGAACGGACCACTAGCTGAGTTGGTTAGGTGGCGCTAGTAACACTCCTCAGGTCCTGGGTTTGACTCCTTGTGGGAGCAAATTTTAGGCTGGGTTAAAAAAAAATCCCATCGTTTATCCCAAGTCAAACCACATGTCTAAGGCCCGGCCCCGGTCATGGTCGTTCTCACATGGACTACGGTGCCGCCGTGTATGGGTGGGGCAGGGGTTCGGGGGTTTTCTCGATCTACGTGAGAAGGTCTTCTTCTTAATGCAATGCCTAGGGGCCGTCTTACCCCCCCGCAGGTCGAGTTTTTTTAAAGGGTTATATACTACGAAAGTATTTTCATAATAAATCTGGTAATGTCAATCTTGTGAAGTGCATATACATATATAAAAATATTATATTGATGGTCACAGTTAAAAATATTGACTTCGAACAAACCTAGATGGACCTATATATACAATCTGAGGAAGTAGTTTACTAGGAGAATAATGGCAAAAAGGCAACTATGGCTGAAGATCTCTTCATGGCTTCAAAATACCCTGAGTCATGGCTAGGATGGTGTATTAGCCTAGCCATAACTAGTAAGTTCTTCCCCCCCCAAGAAAAAACCCTAGTAAGTCCAGTTTTTTTTCCGAAAACTTAAGTTTCTGGAATATTTCATCAGCTTTATAGACTTCACAGTTCTATAGTTCTGTTGACATGTAACATGAGTTCCAGAAATGCAAAATAGAACCAAGTTCACCCATCTTGGCAAAATATATTTTGCAAAAGATATTCATCCAACAAGTCCAAATAACAGGTACACACTCAACAGGGCAGCATGTGTAAATAGAACCACTGATGTCCAATCTTCACAGTACCTCAACAGTTGAAAGCCTAAGTAATGTATAAGACAACAGTAAGCCCCAAAACTAAGAACAACCACAAAGTAGGTCCAAGTTCCGACATAACACTAGTAAAGTCGGCATAACTGAAAAAACTATGAAATATTTTAGTGTGTGAGTGACCAACCCAAGACCTAAAGCAAAGCAATTCCGAACCACAGTTACCAATTTCCTGAATATCTGTTAGACAATATCAGAGGTGCTACGTTGAATCTCTCATAAGCAGAAGAAGTGTAGTGTTCTTTTCAGTAAAATTTTACATTTGTATGCAGTCAGTAAAACGCAACCGAGTTTTCTGTATAGAAAGCCAGGTGAACTGTACCTAACCTCCCAGATCGAGAGGGAAGGGAGAACGGAGGTGTTAGGGCAGGAGGAGATGCTGGGGGCTGGTACCTGCCGAGGGCGCGGAGGTCCTGGAAGTGGAGGCGCATGGCAGCCTCCTCCTTGACGATAACGCGCTCCATCCTGTCGACGTGCTGGTGCACACTGTACGGGGGAGCGCCGCCGGCGACGAAGAGGGCCTCGAGGAGGCGGTCCGCGCCGAGCCGGATGTCCGCGATGAGCCGGCCCGCACGGCCCAGTCGCTCCATCGCCTGAGCCACCTGCTTCGGCGGCGCGTCCCCGCCCGCCGGATCCTGCGGGTGAGCCACCGTCTGCGCCACCGCCGACGCCGACGGCGCCACCGCAAGTGCCGACGCGTGCGCCTGAGGCTGCTGCATCATGATTCCTGGGCCTCCGAATGCCAGAGCTGCGGGAGTGTTGCCGGCCGGCCCCGTAGTAATTAAAGTAGTAGGCCGTATAGGCCCATGATCGACGCCGATTTGTTTTTGTTGGGCTGACCTCGGCCCCCTAAATAAAATAGAAAAAGAATTTTACTACAGCCTGGGCGTGGAAATTCACCATCCGACTGCACTCTCTATTTTAGAAAACCAACCAACCTGCTGGCCAAAAAAGGAAAGAATCGTGTGCGGGAGGGCTCCGCGCGCCCGCCGGACGGAGCACGCCTGCCGAACGGATGCAGCTCCCAAAGTCAGACCCACCAGAAACGGCAGATTCCCTGGACCATCTTCTTCTAGCCTAAGCATTTTATAACTTTCACACAGTAACAGGTAGGGAATACCAGTTTTTTTTTTTGACAAAAGGTCTCCCGTGCTTTTATATTTCCAGTAAATTGTAGGGAATACCAGTTTGGATCTAGATTGTAGGGAATCCGAAACATCCCTTCTTTTTTGTAAATTGTAGGGAATACCAGTTTGGATCTAGATAATCACATACATCATCCAGAAAATCACAGAACCCAAGATGATTAAGAAAATCGCATACATCCAAGATTCAAGCAAGTATTGAGGCAAAAGTATCAACATGAACAGGTATTTGAAGTCTGATTAATGCATTTTCTATTCTTCCCTTCATATCTTTTCCCCAGGATTCTTCATGTTTCCATTCTTACGGTTCCCTTCAAATCTTCTGCTAGGTATTTTAATACATCCAGAAAGTCACAAATTATTAGATTTCTTCACATCTTCATCTCTGCTGAGTATATGGAATGGATCTGCTGGTGCCTTGTCGTCATTGTCCAACCTGTAGGAAAAAACAAAAAAGAGCATAAGTGGATATTTAGAGCTATGATTAAAGTGAGCTGGGAATCTGAATAATGCTGCCATTTGACTACATGATATTCTATAGCACCAATAATCTTTCTTGATAGGCGATACACGACTATCATGTATAAAATCTGAATATGTAGAAGTTGTATCTTATTCAGTTTTGGTTGCATGGGCAGTACCGCAACATGCAGAGTTGACCAAAAAATGCATTTAATTTTCGTTTTGGATATGAGCTAACTAAAACTGCTTCAATAGGGAAACTAAATTGCTTGTAACTTTTGAAGAAGATGCTTTGTAGGGGTTGAAGTGTTCAGGCAAGCCTTTATTCCATCTGTTAGGCAAAATAGTGTTAAGAGTTAAGCAATTATATGGTTATAAATTAGGCAAAACAGTGTGGTTGATAAAGCAATAATAGTGAGATAACCAGAAATGAAGGCCGATAGCTCAGGCATGAGGAGAAATGGGTGCACATAGCTCTAAAATTTAGGCGAGCAAGGTTAGCTGTAATGGCGAGATCAGCGAGTGCCTATGTGGCCCCGATTGGAGAAGGACTTGGGATGGTGACATGGTGAGGAGCACCACGCCAGCCGGATCCAAGGTCGTGGGGTGGCCCAAACCGCACAGCAACGCCGTGCAAGGCTACTCCTGCAGCGCGACGCGAGGCTTGCACTCGAACTGTGCGTCCACCTGGCCCAGCAGCTCGTCAGCGGTGCCTTAGATCTCCACGCTGACAACGGAGAGGCGGAGCACAGGATGACTAAGTGGTGCCGGCTCCGGGGGCCTGAAGTGGAAGGGCATCGCAGCCTTGTAGAAGAGGGAGACGTGGATGCACCACCCGATGGGGCAGCCATCGGAGCCATAGACACGGACGACGCTCCCGTCCTCGCCGTCCACCACGGCGGAGACGGAGGGGGAGAGGGTGTCGGCGAGCGCATGGCAGGGGAGAGAAAGGGAGGAGATAAATGAGAGATAATGCAGAGGGGGCTTGTGATAAGGCTGGCTTCCATCCGCACAGGTGCATTGGATCATCCATTAACGGCGGATGGGTGCGTGTGCGTGCAAAGATAAAATTACCGCCTGGCTAAATGAAGTCATTATCACATGAGGCAGTCTTTAACTAACAATCTATCATCTAAAGATACACAAAGTAGTCTCTTTAAGCCCTACGCTCTAGTACAAAAGCATGGATTGGCATCATCATCAATGCCAGATCATTACAACACTAAGAAATGCTAAAACTAAAACAGAAAAATGCTTAACTAGAATGAACAAATTGCTTGTTCATTTAGCATAAGTTGGCTCTAAAATGAAATATGTGGGCTCACCACAGTTGTTAGGATTAGGCATTGCACTGGCATGATGAAGAAAGCTAGGATCCATGGGCTTACCTCTATTCTGATGAGTGAAAGAGGTAATGGTTTTAATAATGCCTCGAGCAATGATGGGAAAGCACCACGCGATGCACTGCCCACATGCTCATCACATTGTTTTGATCCTTGGGTCTCTTCAATGGCAGACATCATATAGGGAAGCTCTATCTAAAGACGCCCGTGGCCACCCCTAATCGCAATCGTTAGATGGTGTTCATATATGAATTTGTTTATATATTAAGCATGTTCAAATTTGGTATGTGCTTTAGGCACATTAGTACTAACGATGTAAACAAAAGCAACACAGGTAATGTTCCCTATGCTTCAGGCCATAAAAAATAAAGGATCAGAATCAATGGGACACTACTACTTGTTGGTTCTAAACCTAAGGAGCAACAGAATCAAGGTACGTGTGCCTAAATATTTGAAATTTAGTCTGGTACGGCAGGCATTTATGTATGAAACAAAAAGCATTTCTGATGTGCAGTGCGTGTATTTATCTATAGAAGAAAAGTAACTTTGAATCTATATATTGTAGGTAGGCCTTGAAGCATTGTTAGAAATAAGAGTGAATAGATTGTGTCATACTAATCCAATAGTGATCAGATTTTTTTTTAAAAAATACAGCAACCATTTAATCAAAGGAAGGTTTGCCGTCATACTAGAAGCATTGTTAGAAAAAGGGAATACCAGTACTAATGACTCCATGGCATACTAATAAGTGTGCATATTGTATACACTAACAAGTATTAACAATCAATAATAGGTAGAGAAAGGAAAAAAAAGCATACTTGACGTGACACAAAAGATCTGTAGATGAAACACAAAGCACCAGATGAGAGCAAATAAATGTAGCACCTGGAAAAGGAAGGAAATGAACCGTAAGTGCATGATGAAGCCAAGATCAAGTCCAACCACATTATTCTAAACCACTGGAATTGCGAATTAGAGATTCCAAGAGAAATGGAGGGGAAAGCACCCCTGGTTTCTTACAGAATCTACATACTACTCTGGTGGAAATTTAGTCGGTTCTAAAAACTTTGTGATTAAAAATGATCCCAACTTCACCATATTGATCTAAAACAAGTAAAATTTTTATGAACATAGCATGGAGATAGGTACACCTTACATACCAGTGGATATAGTTGAAAGCAGTGAACAACTAGCAATTCCAAGAATGCAAAGTTCTCAAGTGCACTAGGCTCCTCAATACACGAGTTTTTTAAGAAAAAAGAAAAAACACATATAAATCTTCAGGGTACATTGCATAGTCATTTACAATGACAGAAAAGCGCACAGGCAAATAACGGTGAACAGGCATGAATACTAACAGGTAGGAGAGCACATAATGCACACTTGTAGTTATCAAAACGGAATCACTTATGAGAAAAAAATCTAGGCACATCACTACATGAGTTTTGAAAAAGATTTTAGATGCAGATTTGAAATGTCAGGGAAGAAGATAAATACTAACAGTAGGAGAAGCAACCAAGGAATACACACTTGTCATGAATAACCACATCATTACATGAATAATAGCCATATTCACATTTTATTACAAAATCTAAAAAAAGGCATAATAGCTACTGCACATATGGCAAAGCTCATGCCTCCAAACACACCACATGAAAGATCACTTAGACCACATCTACCATCTGTTTTATCAAATATAAGTACACACCGAATGAAAAATCTAAGTACATAGTACAGAGCACCAAAACACATTTAGTACTGAAGCTAGACTGAGAGTGAAATTCAGGAGGAATGCATACAAAATGGTAGGGATATTCCCAAAATGAACCTAAATGCTTAGGAAATGCTAATGAACCTACATTTTGTGGCGCCCAAACTGGAGATCCATCACTCCGATTGAAGCCTAGCAGCGACTGATTCGTGGAGGAGACGAACTCAACAGAGGCGAGATTCACCAATAGTGACAGATCTACCATGGATTCGTAAAGTGAGATACAGTATGGAGAACATGGAGGATTAGAAAGGCATATGAAACCTAAACGGCGAAGAACAACAAACGGATGCGAATGGAGGAAGGGGAAGGATGATGACGGACCCAAAAATGAACATATCCACCGCCGCGGAAACCACAGCCGGCAAAGCAACCTCCCGTCGCAGCTCATCACAGGATCTGGAACACCAAACACGGCTCAATTCGAAGCCACAAATCGTTCATCCGGCCAGATTCGAAGGGCCAGTTCACAGTCTGCTGTGAAATTGACAGTGATTTGAAACCTAGCTGCTACAAGATTCACTAGGGATCGGAGCCCCATTGATGCGAGATTCACTGGGATTAGAATGGGCGAGTTGAAGAAAAATGGGATGGAAATGTTAACGCACCTTACAAACCATGGGAGTCTATGGGAGGTGGATCATCGTTGGCAGCGGAATGCCGGAATCCACCAGACCTCCACCCTTCTCGAACCATCGAGGTTCCTTCTCCTTGAGCGGGTGTTCGGCTGGAGGAATTTGGATGGTGAGGAATTTGCGAGAGAAAAATAGGATGAAAAAAAGAAGTGGATCAAGGCCGGGTTCGAGGGCACGAGAACGGGGCCTGAATCATGGGCGAAATCCTCCCTGTTACCTCCGTCCACGAGCGGTCGTCACCGGCGTCCACCCAGATTCGAAGGGCTTTTTCCCCCTCGTCGCCGGCTCCTGCTAGATTCGTCGGGTTATTGCACTGGCGTAGCTCCGGCTGGTGGATTCACCTTTGAATTCTGTATGGGATTGGAAATGAAATGGGAAGACAGAAGAACGAAAAAAGGAGGGGGGGGGGCGCGGGGAGAACAGAGAGGAAATGGGGAATCGATATCTGTGAGGAAAAAAAAACGTTGATACGTGGCTTGTGGGCCATGTCTGCTTCGTTGTGGGCTCGTGGCCGTGCACGGAGAAATCAGACGGTACCAACGGTGCGCATTCCCAAGGCTAACGTGCGTGCGCTCGTAAACTAGGCCTTGGCAGACGACATCAAAGTTAAGTTTTTTTCATTTTTTCTTGATCATATCAATGTAGTTAAAAAAAGTAACTAATTATACAGTTTGGTTGTAAATGAATTTTTTAAGTTTAGTTAATTTATAATCGGATAAAATTTGTCAAATAAAAATGAAATGTGCTACAGTGTTCAGATTATAAAATATAAAAATTTACAATCTAAACACCCTAGGAGTATTTAGGGGGAAAAAAATAGCATTTCAGCACCGGCGTTTCGAAAGTTCCACACCCCCGCCCGGCCGGCCAGCGGCCATGTCCCTCCCCGGCGGCAACGGCGAGCCCCCTCCCCCTCCACCGCCGTTCCCCTCACTCATCAAGCTCGGCCGCGCGGTCACCGCGCGACACGTCGACCGCTTCCTGACAGTGCTCCTCCGCCGCCGCAGGCACCGCCTCCTCGCCGCGCTCGCCTCCCAGGCGCTTGCCAACGCCATCGCCCCTACTCCGCGCACGCACCTCCTTGCCGCCTCCGCCCTGCTCGACTCCGCGCGGCCGCGTGACGCCGCACAGCGCCTCGCGCTTGCCTCCCGCACCGCCAGTCGCCGCCTCTGGGATGCACTGCTCCGCCGGGCCTGCGCCGGGGGCGGCGACCCGCGCCACGCACTGGAGCTACTCTCCGCTGCCATCGAAGACCACGGCATGGTGCTGTCGCCTTCCACGTACCGCGAGATGGTGGTGTTGTTGTGTGCCCACGGGGAGGTGGATTGCGCGCTTAGGGTGTTCGACTTAATGACCAGGAGGGGGTGTCAGGTAGAGGATCGCGTTTGCAGCTCGATCGTTTCTGGGTTATCCAGAACTGGGAAGGCCGGAGCAGGGCTGGATTTCTATGAGAAGGTGAAGAGTCAGTTCAGTGGATTTGATCCGGGCCTTGTGACACTGACATCAGTTGTCCATGCTCTTGGGTTGGAGGGGAGAACTGGTGAGATGGCGGAGCTTATGCGGGAGATGGAGTGTAAAGGCATGAATGCTGATGCTGTGTTTTACGACAGCATGGTTCATGGATACATGAGTCGTGGGTTCTTGATGGAAGGTCTTCGGGAGCATCGATCCATGCTAGAGAAGGGAATCGAAGCCGATGTGATTAACTATACTACTGTTATTGATGGACTCTGCAGAGAAGGTAGTGTGGAGAAAGTAATGGGGTTCTTGGATGAGATGGAGCGAGTGGATGCTAAGCCAAATTTGATTACTTATACATCACTGGTTGGTGGCTTCTGTAAGAGAGACAGGTTGGAAGATGCTTTCTCTATCGTGAGGAAACTGGAACAAACAGGCGTGGTGGTGGACGAGTATGTATATTCGATTTTGATTGACAGTTTGTGCAAAATGGAAGATTTAGACAGGGCTTTCTCGTTGCTCACGGAGATGGAGAATAAGGGAATAAAGGCTAGCATCATAACATACAACACGATAATAAATGGTCTGTGTAAAGCTGGTCACACTGAAAAGGCTCTTGAAATTTCTGAAGGTGTTGCTGCTGATAATTTCACATATAGCACACTGTTACATGGTTACATCAAAAGAGGTGACATAACCGGTGTTATGGCAATAAAGGATAGGCTTGAAGGTAGTGGTATTTCTATGGATGTTGTCACATGCAATGTTCTTATCAAAGCATCGTTTATGATTAACAAGGTGAATGATGCCTGGAGCTTGTTTCATAAAATGCCTGAGATGGGCTTAAGACCTAATACTATCACCTACCATACAATCATAGACAAACTGTGTAAAGCTGAGGAAGTGGACAAGGCACTGGAGTTGTTTGATGAATACAGGAAAGATTCAGGATTCTCCACTGCAGTTGTTCATGAGTGTCTGATTAAAGCACTGTGTAATGGAGGAAAAGTTGACATGGCTGACCAAATATTTTATGATCTTGTTCAGAAAAAAATAAGGCCCAATTTCTTTAACTGCAGGAAGTTGATTCATGCACACTTCAAAGGACACGGTGAACATGGTGTGCTGGATTTCATTTGTAAGGTTGGTGAATTAGATATTGACTTATTTTCATCTGTTTGTAATTATGCTTCTGCTTTCTTAAGCAACAGAAATTGTTGGCAAGCAGCAATGGATGCTTACAAGTTACTCAGAATGCAAGCCATTGCTGTAACTAGTAAAACATGCTACAAGCTGCTCAAGAGCTTACACCGAAATGGAAGTGAAGAGGTCATACAGCCATTGCTATGTGATTTCATTAAAATTCATGGCCTGCTTGATCCGACAATGATAAATATGATGTCTTGTTATCTCAGCAAAAAATGTGTTAGCAAAGCTATTTGGTTTTCTAATTACATGGACAAAGGCAGTGTTCCTATCAGTGTTCTGAGAGGAGCTGTCTTTGCCCTAAAGAAGCAAGGTGAAGTTCTAGATGCATGTAACTTTTTGAAGGTAGCTGAACAAAGTGGGTTTTCAGTAGATCTAGCCATGTACTCCATAGTGGTGGATGGCCTTTGTAAGGGTGGGTATCTTGGAAAAGCACTGGACCTTTGTGGAAGCATGAAAAAAGAGGGATTTCATCCGAACATTATCATTCATAACTCAGTTCTCAATGGTTTGTGTCATCAAGGATGCCTTACTGAAGCTTTCAGGCTCTTTGACTACATAGAAAACAGCAAGATGCTTCCAACGATAATCACCTATACCATTCTTATAGGTGCTTTGTGCAGAGAAGGTTTGTTAGATGATGCGGATCAGTTATTCCAAAAAATGTCCACCAAGGGTATCAAACCCACTACCCGTGTTTACAACTTGCTGATAAGTGGTTATTGTAACTTTGGATTAACTGAAAAGGCCCTTGAGCTTATGTCTCATTTGGAGGAAATCTTTCTTTTGCCAGATTGTTTTACACTTGGTGCAATTATCAATGGACTCTGTCTGAAAGGTGAGACTGAAGCTGCATTAGGCTTCTTTAATGAATACCATCATAGGGATATGGAACCTGATTTCGTTGGTTTCATGAGCCTTGTCAAAGGACTCTATGCAAAAGGAAGGATGGAAGAATCCAGGGGCATCTTGAGGGAGATGTTTCAGTGCAAAGAAGTCGTGGAGTTAATAAACAGTGTTGGAGATAAGATTGAAGCGGAGCCTCTTGTTGATCTCCTATCTTCTGCATGTGATCAAGGGAGGATTGATGAGGTTGTAACTATCCTAAATGAAGTGGGACTCTTGCTTTTATCCTCTTCAAATTCTGTCCGCTATAATGCGCTTGCCCACCTCAAGAAGGTACAGAAACCTGAGGATGCTTATGATTCCATGACAAATTCAGGACAAGCAAGTCCAGTCGCTTATGATATTTCTAGCAATAGTCTCCTTAGGAGTTCTGATGGCATAGTTCAACCCATGATAGATGGAGATGATAGTTTATCAAAACTGAGTGGTGACACTGATATTGACTACCAAAAGTTGCTTGGAAAGTCTTTCAATGATCATTTCGAGTCATACTATGCTGCTATTGCTTCACTTTGCTCGAAAGGGGAGGTTCTTAAGGCCAACAAGGCAGTTGAAGCAATGATTCAGAATTGTGGTTAAATTTGGTGACCTGTCCAACTTGTTAGGGAAACCTTTCTTGCTGCAGTGTCAACATCTGCAAACATGTTAACTCGTAAGTACAACATGTTTTTTTTTTGATACAGTTGAGACTTGATGTCACAGCATTGGGGTTCACAAAAGTTGTAATTACCTTTTTTTTGCATTTTAGCCTGTCTTGTTTAGAAAAGCAAAACTGTGCTTTGGGTTCATCACACGATCTCATGCACTCTTTATTATAACTTTTTGTCTCTTCTTTTTCTTCCTGAAACAGACGCCATATCAAAACAGATCCCACTTTCCACAGGAGTTGATAGAGCGTCTGCTGGTTGACCCATGGCACCCACCCATATGGTTGTGAATATTTGATCTTCAATATGGTTTAAGGTTCTGAAAGTCCTTGAGGTTGAGGATACATCTTGTTAGATTCAACCAGTTTACACCCCTCAGCTGATATCCTTTGTCTTTTAGGTATGTTTTCTGCTGGATGAGTTCCAGTGATTTCTTTTTGTTTTCAATCTTCCCTGCATTGACTGACCATATTCTTCTAGACATTTACCAGGCCTCTGGTGTAAATGTTGAACTGTAGGACATGAGGAAAAGAGAAAGCCAATACAGCAGCGGGTTCTGCAAGTAAATAGCTTCTTTAACTCGTACTTACTCTATTACTTATTTTCTCACTATTAGCTCCATTTCCAAGTGTAATTGCTTTCTGGATCCTTGAACTGTATTTATCTTCCATTTCAGATGCTTGTTCTTTAAATACATTAAAGCAGAAGCTGTGCTATGATTTTGCTCGTATCTCTGTTCAAGAATCTGAATAACACCAACAGATATGAGGCTGACACAACGAGGTACCTTCTAGCATTGCATGTGAAATAGCATCCATTGATATTGACGTCGTTATGCCATTAGTTTGAATGCTTGCATGGGAATCCTAAAGATTTCTGTTAGGCATGGCAACCTGACTACATAGGTCGCATGAATGTATCTTTGGACCTTTCGTATGATGATTGAAGTTTTTCCTTTACAAACCACTTCTCTGATTCCATGTGTAGGTACTAGATTTGTGCATATGAATTAAGAAAGTAGATCAAATGACCTTGGTGCCCTTCGTTTATCATGTATTGGAAAAGATGACACATTCATTTGTGAGAGTGGTAGCATTTATTAAGTAGGGGCAAGGATGGAAGAAAGGGTAAAGATGCATGGAACGACCTACATTTGGAGAAAAGTTGAAAAGTCTAAAGAGACCAAAATTTGGAATCTGGGGGAGTAACTTTTGTCCATACTTGATTCCAATATGGTAGGAGAGCTAGGGTTAAGGGGGAGCGAGATTGCTGACCAGGGACCTCTGCCCACTGCCGAGCAAGAAGAAGGCTTTTCCTTCTTAATTCCTGCTTAATTCAATCAATAACACGCCTGCATTACATAGCCTGGCCTTAGTACACGATCTACTAACGAACCAATCAGCAAACTAACAATCTTATTCTTATGTAACCAACCTGATCTGATAATTAACAATTAACAAACTAATGCAAGTAGATGGGTTATCCTTGAGCCCTGGATGCCAAGCTAGCAGCACCATGCCTGCGTCCATAACACTTCATCCGCATTCCCGCCTTGATAAGCAGCTTGCTCTCAACAAGAGGCAGCAACTTACCAGTGTGGCAACAAGAGGCGTGGTGCGACAGCCAAAGGCATCGATCTCGACGTCATCTCAGGATAAGCTCAAGATCTTGTTAACGATTTGTTAGCTATTTCCCAGCAGATTAGTTGGCTTGTTACCTCATTTTGTTAGGCCTCTAGATTTGGACAATTGTTATCATTTGGTTTTAAGCAAGACAATAGGAAGTTGTTGCATCTTCCACTTGGCCACTCACACCTTTCATCTCTCACCATGTTACACAGCACAGCGCCGCCGCAACACTGTTATTGAGTTGTGATTTTGGTCTTTGGAGTCAAAACATGACAAGTCAAATAAGCAGATCTATGGCAACCGAAGAATGAACTCATCTTATATTGAGTTATTAATAGATACATTTTACAATGTGTTTAAATAAAACACAAAAGATCGAACATATGATAAAATCACAGCCATGCTTACTTATTTAAACAAAACACGCCACCACCATCACGTACAATTCAGCACATAAAGTGACCTCAGTGCCCTCAGTGGCCGTTGTTGAGCTTCCTGCAATTCTTCCTGATCTCACCTTGTGACCCTGTCTGTGGTGAGATGTTGCCCATATTCACCATTGACTGTGCAAAGTGCTGGAAGAAGAGATTGACATCAGCAGCATATGCCTTCACGAGGGCCGCTGTCTCAGCCCTCTTAGTTAACAGAACCTCATCAGAGCTTAGAAGGCCCTTTCCGGCCAGGAGGTTCTTGTAGTAAAAATTGTCAAACTTGGCTGGGGTGACAAAGTCCAAGGGGAAGAGGTTATTGTCACCACCAGAGCGGGGACACCCCTGCCTCAGCTGCGCGGCGTAGGATACATCCAGCGTGCTGTCAGCCATGCCATTGCCTGTCTGGTTGTACAGCCTCTGCCGGAAACTAGTGCACCGAGACATACCTATGGTGTGACCACCTGTATATGCACATGATATTGTATCCATGTTGTGTAATATGAGTGTGCGTTAAGTTGGTCAATAACGAAGGACAGATGATACTAAGAAATACACGAAAAGTCACCTGAGAGGGCAACAACATCAACAACATTGAGGCCCAGGCGCTTGAACTTGGTGATGATAGTGGGGAGTGTGTTGTTGGGGGCTGGGATGTCATTGTTGGAGCCCTGGATGCTTGCGCCGAGCGAGTCCCTCCGGCCAAGTGGCACGTCCCAGTATGGGCCACCAACCTACGGGTTAGAGTTCAGAAAAATCTAACTTTGCCAAAGCTGTCGCTATATATACAAATATCATGTCTCTTCCTTAAGGTTGGACAGGGTTGTTGATAGTGGAACGTACCAGGGCAGTGGAATCACGAGCCGCGAGGGCAAGAATGTCGGCACAGGAGACAGTGCCTGGGCAGGCAGCCTCTAGAGCAGCCTTAATCTGGTCGACCACCTCAAACCCTCTGAGGGAGTTCCTGTTCGGGTTGGACCCTTTCTCACTAACTATGCTGCTGCTGTTGTCCAACAGCACCGAAGCATCGCAGCCCTACACATGTAACAATGTTGTAAAAGATTGGTAATTACTAGCCACATGGAATAGTTTAGAGATTTGGCGCATGCTACAGAGTAGTGGTGACAGTAGATTCATCGGGCACATGCGTTGAGTAAGAGATGACAAACGTTGCACAGAGAGCTTCAATCATTGTGCACTAGAGTTGAGTAAACATCTTCTCGTGTGGCTCACAAAAAAAAGACTATCTTATATAGCACTCAAAAAAGGAGAACAATAGAGTTAATCAATCATAGTACTGGCTCGATCATGTCACCCGGACATAAAGTAGTGCTGGCATGGGCAATGGTAGGCTTTCTCATCAATCAATAGTAATTAAAGAAGTTAGCCAAAATAATATAGATTCTCCCATGCTAGCTTTTCTAATACTTAGGCACGCATGTTGCACAAGCGCATTTCAAGTTATTGGTTTATACAGCCAAAGCTAGTAATGAATTCATCCATTTACCTTTGCTTTTCATGTTTGTTTGCAACACCTTTATATGGATTACTCATAATCTTATTGTACCAACATATAGTTAAAAGACTTGAAGTACAAAACTTGTATCGCTAACTTGTTATAGTGTACTGCAGTATCAAGTGTCATAGCTGTGTCAGAGCATGTAACAAAGAACATAACAGAGGAAGCAGAGTTTACCTTGACAAAGCAGTCATGGAAATGCAATCTGACCAAGGATGCCGCCATCCTGGTCTCCTTGGCCACAGCCTGTGCCACAATGGACTGCACAATCTCCTTCGCCTTGGGGCACGAATGGTCATAGAACTGTGGGAACAAGCCACCCCATGGGTGGCCAAGGACGACACTGGGAAGGAGGAGAGGAGAAACAAGGCAGAGCAAGACGAGAGAACCCATGGAAGTTGCCATGTGAGTGACCTTTGCTGTACTACGTTATAAGAGAAGAGAGTGTTGCTACTTGCTTGTTTCTTCTTCCCTTGTGGATGGTTTCATAAGATGGGCATATGGTGGTATATATAGCTGCAGGAAGTGGGTGTAGTGCATGTAAGAAAAGTAGGGTTGGTTTGGAGCAGGGGACGGTGGGATCAGATGCAGCTGGCTGCTGGGTTGTTAGGGTGATCAGGGGGTGATGCGTATAGAATAAGCGAGCTAGCTAGACTGCCTAGACACTGTGGCAACTGCTATAGTGATTGCATCAAGTTACAATTCAGCTCTAACGTTCTTAGTTGCTGTTTGGTGCTTCAGTTTTAGCTCAAAGTGACAGAGATTAAAAATTTTGGTCCTAGACAAGCGTAGGTGGAGTGGAAACAACTCTGCCACTTATTAAACAACAGGCATTGCTGCAGTTTTCCCAAAGGACTGGAATAGTGTGTGAGAGTGAAACTGAAATGAGGAGTCTATGATTAATTGATGATTATGCTGCTCATATACGCATATGCATAAGCAACTCGTCTTTTGAACAAAACTACCTAAACAGTACAACAAAATGTAATTTTATTGTAAACAATCGCATTATGTAACAGCATCATATCCTGGATCTGGAGTCTTCCAGGAATGGACTTAAACTACCTCAATAGGACAGGTGTAGCAGGTAGATCAGTCATTGTTCTAACTTTATCCTAGTTGTATATCAAGTTCGGGCTACGCCCACCCATATAACAAGTACTAATAATAATATATTTTTCCAACCATATTTAACCTTACACAGCACATGACAATATAGCATACACTGTATGAACTCAAGTAACCAAAGTACAAAAAGCTTAGCTAAAAGTGAGATTTTGCTTCTGAAATAATCCAACTACTTTTGTCATACTTAAGTGTCGTTACAGGTCGTTTGGTATTTTTATTGATCAAGACTACATGTGGCAGGATTATCTGGAGCGAGGGTTCTTTTATCGAACATGGATTCGTATCCCTGTCTTTAGGGACAAAAGTATATATGATGCTACAGCAGCACGCCTTTTTTCGCACAAGCTTCATATCAATAACAGGTGACGTCTAAGATTTATCGAACATCTCGTGCTTCCAGTTTAACACCTTAAAATTAGGGTCCTTTGGCTATACCAGTGTAGTGATCAATACGAAAGACCGGATGATTCATCAAACGGCTGGAGCATGCGTGCCTAACATGACTGGCTTCTGTTGTGCAATGCAGGAAACCGACTAGCCGGTTCCGCAGCCAACACACATGCGTCCGATCAGGTCAAGCGCGACGTGTGATGTACCAACGCCTAGTACACGGCACGTGATGATTCGTGTTAGGTGCTTGCATGGCCTACATTCGTGTCACGAGCTGGTTCCTCGAAGGAGCGTTTTGGAAAGCTTCCACACGTACTGACACTGGTACCGGTAGGAGCTGCTTATTTGTTCTTCTGCACACCACATATCAGTGGCCGTTTCTTGAAGGAAACATCAGCGTTGGTTGCTACTGTCAAATATTTGGTTCATGCGGAAAAAAAGGAAATAATTGGAAATTTGAATTTTTTATACGATGTCATATCATAATCATAGCACTTAACTACATACAGAGGAGGAAACAACAGAGAATTCATGGAGGAAGTTGGCTAGTGGTGGACAACGGGTGATTTATCTATGTATATTTTTGCTAGACAAATACTATACCTCTGTATTGCGATGTTTGTCCACTCTACACACCTAGGCTAGGAGGCACAAACGTTAGCGAATTTTTACGTGATTGGACCATTGTATTATTGTATTCATTAGAGTCACCACCTAAGTACATGAACAGGAAAAACATTGTGAAATGGGGCAGCTACTGAGCATAATGATTGGTTACTGCATTATTCCATCATGTTCTTGCATAGGTAAAAGCGCAAAAACTATATAATATAGCCCTAGCAACTAACAAGAGCATGCCACATGCCTCAAAAGAGAAATCAAACTTTAGCATCCCTACTACTCTCACCTAGGGGAGACAAAAAAAAAACGACATGTGCAAGACAGCCAAAGTACCTGCTCTTGACTTCTCATGTGTTAGGATCCAGATTTATTCACCCCGTTCGCTTGTTGGTTTGCTTATTTAACCAGTCAACAGTGTTTTTTTCTCACAATAAACCAGTACCAACAAACCAGTACCAGTCAGCCTAAACTAGCCTAGAAACTAACCAGCGAACACGCCAATTATTTTTTTTACTGTTCCTCCCTTCTCATTTTACTCCTATAACTGTAATTCACGCTTAACTACGCCGCAATCACGCTTCCTGTGGAGGAAAAAAAGTCAAAGTTTGAACAAGCCTCCACATTACTTCCAAGTTAACTAACACTAGTTTTTCTAATACAGCTGAAAAATAATTTATCAATGATTTCATGAGTCAGCGAAAGTTGGTATGAATAATTAAATGTCACAATTATATAACTGATCAGAGAGCTGATTCATGTATTATTTTGATGTTGTTTTCACCAACCTTGATGTGGTGGCCAGATTTTGAGCATCCTTCATATGGATTTGCTGGTGATTTGTAAGCAAGAATTAATTAAAAAAAGGTTTTAGGAGGCAAAAAGTATTTTTAATTACCATGCGTGGTCATCCAGGATAACTTACGTTAATGTTATTACTTTTACTGGGTCGAATCTTACCGTTGTTTTGTCTGTTGATTGAATGATGTTTATTTTGAGATGCCTAGAAGATTCCTAATTAAGTTATAACCTTATCAATTTATCACGAGTAGAATTAGCGAGTTGTAAGGAAAATATACCCTAGGCCCATTCACTTTGGATTTTGGTGTTTAATGATCAACACAACTAAATTAGACTAATGAATTTGCAAGTGATTTTTTGTAGTTCAATAGAATGCAAGACGTGACTTGGACGAAGGCAACGTGATGATCTGATGATCAACACCATAAGCAAGACCTTAGAAGCACAAGAGAAGACCCAAGATATCAAGCAAAGTCCAAGCATGAAGATAGGAACCAAGCCGTACGCAAGATCGCGAAGAAACGAGCTAACAGAGGTGATCGGACGCTGGACCAGACGCTGGGAAAGTGATCGGACGCTCCGATCAAGAGGCTCGGCAAACAGGCGTCAGCAGCAGCGACCGGACGCTAGACCGAACGCTGGCAGCAAGTCGATCGGACGCAGGACAACAGAGTCCGGTCGAGTACAAAGAGGTTCTAGAGCGGCGAAAATGCGACCGGACGCGTCCGGTGGCATGTGACCGGATGCTAGCAGCGTTCAATCAGTGGATCGCGGCTCCAATGGTCGGGACGACCAGACGCGTCCGGTCAGGACGTGATCAGCGTTCGGTCAGTAGCAGAAAGCGGGATTTCGTCCCCAACGGCTACTTTCTCAGTGGGGCTTATAAATAGACCCCAACCGGCCATTTGAAGGCGGTGGAGCTGAGGAAATATACCAAGGGTGTTGATACACCATTTTAGTGATCTCCACTTGCATAGTGCTTAGTATTTTATTAGGTGATTAGTGTAGGTGTTTTGCGAAGTGCTTAGGTTGATTAGACCACCGCTTATGCATTTGCTCTGGGTTTAGGCTTAGTGTTTAGTAAGGTTTGCATACCTCTTACCACTCGGTGCTTGCGCGCACCATTGTTGTACATCGGAGGGGTCTGTAGTCTTGCGAGATCACACCAACCGTGTTTGTGGTGTGGCCGCCATCGTGTACCGGAGGGAACAAGGCCCGCGGCGTTTCGGCCGGAAGCTTGATAGTGAAGACGGCGGGGAGCATCCAGGAGAGGCTTACCGGAAGGCACGTTGGAGACCCACTTGCGCGTGGGGAAGGCCCGAGGCTATCCACAGAGTTACCCGACCAGGACCTTGACCCTTGCGAGGGATTCCTTGCGAGGGGCTCTAACGAGGACTAGGGGGAAGCTTACGTGCTTTTCAATACCTCGATAAAAATACCGGAGTCGTCGACAGGAGTTTGCATATCTCTACCTTGCTCTTTAGCTTCCGCATTTACATTGATTGTATTACTCCTTTTGCGGTAGAGATAGCAACACACTAGCAAAACCGTAGTTGCACATTTAGATAGTTTATCTTTTGCATAGGTTTTGCTAGGGGTAGAAAAAGAGGCCATAGTTTAGAGTTAGAATTTTAAGTTGCCTAATTCACCCCCCTCTTAGGCGTCAAGGTCCCTTCAATTGGTATCAGAGCCGGTTGGCTCAATTTGGACCTTTGGCTTAACCGCCGTTGAGCCGACGTTATTTAGAGTGGTTGGGATGGATACCTCTAGGCCTCCGTACTTTGACGGCACTAACTTCCCCTATTATAAAGCTAGAATGGCTTGCTACCTTGAGGCGGTTGATTTGGGTGTTTGGAGAGTCACTCGTGACGGGATGAAACCCATTAAGAATCCCGAAAAACCCACAAAGAGTGATGTAAAAGAAATGCATTTCAATGCTAGAGCTAAAAATTGCTTGTTTGAATCATTTAGTATGGAAACTTCAAGAGCTCCATGACGGCACATCTAATGTCCGTGAGCAAAAATATTGTCTAGCTAAACAAAATTATAATTCCTTTACAATGAATGATGATGAACTTGTTCGTGATATGTATTCTCGTTTGAATCTAATTGTCAATGAGCTCCATTCAATAGGATTAACAAAGCTAGATGATGCGGACATCATGAGGAAGATCATCTCCGTGCAACCACAAAAGAAATATGCAAGCATCATCACCATTCTTCACAACATGGAGAACTTGAGCACCATGACTCCGGGCATAGTCATTGGCAAGATAGTGGCATTTGAAATGTCACATAAGATGGGTCAAGAAGAAGCTTCTTCATCGAGCAAAGGCAAAGCTCTCGCATGTAGCGAGAAAAAGAAGATGAAGGACAAGCAAGTTGAGACAAGCTCAAGCTCAAGCTCCTCAAGTGAAGAAGAAGAAGAAGAAGATGAGGACGACGACGATGATGATGAAGATTCAAGT